GAGGTCCTCAATTTGTTCTTGAATCCTGTCTAGAGGCACGCTGTTTGGCACTTCTGTTGACTCCCTGTTCACCAGACTGAGTTGCTGGAGGAAACCTTCCCACTTGTTCACTGGGAGTACCTTTGTAAGTCCGTCTGCTATCATGCTCGCAGACTGGACGTGTTCCATGATGATCTTTCCAGCGGCCACCTCCTGTCGGAGCCAGTGGTTGTGGATATCCACATGCCGAAGTTTGGTATGTAGTCGCGACACTTCCTCAGTAACTAGTCAAATTGTTTGTTTGTTGTCGCATTGTATTGTGATGGCGTGTGCGCCTATATTGACGTGTAGTTCGCGCAAGAGCCTTGAGATAAAAAGTGCTTCTTTTGCAACCTGGGTGAGAGCAAGAAGCTCAGCCTCAGTTGTTGATGTTGTTACTGTGTCCTGCTTGTTCGCTTTCCATGCGATGAGGCCGCCAAAGAGTTTGATTGCGTAGCCTTGGGAGCTCTTTCTGTCCATAGTGTTGTCAGCGAAGGACGCGTCACTTGCTACCTGGAGGCCGATGCCTCCTCCAAGCTGCAGTGATCGCTGTTTAGTGTTGAGTAGATATAGAAGGACCCGGTCCGCAGCATCTTGGTGGCTGATGCCTGGATTGGTGAGGAACCTGGCAAGCCTTGATGTGGCGAACGCAATGTCAGGTCGCGTGGTGACCGCAGCGAACAGCAGTGATCCAATTTTGCGTTGATACTTGTTGATTTCTGCTGGCGCTGCTAGTCCACTCCTTGGCTGTAGTTCAGTTGTTGCCATTGGAGTGTCATGTCGTATAGTTGTGTTCTCGGCAAGGCGACTGATTTTGTCTGAGTACGCTGCCTGAGATAGGTAGATTTTCTTGCTTGCTTGGTCTTGTATGATCTCCATGCCGAGGAACCACTGTAGGTCGTGCCCTCCTGTGCAGGTGTACTTGCTCTGTACGTGGCTGATTGTCTGCATTGCCTCTTGCTCTTTTGATTTATTGTACGTGAGGATGATATTGTTAACATAAAAGAAGATGATAATGCCACCCTTAGTTAGACAGCAGGGTTCGTGAGGCACAGTCTGGAAACCTAGTGCTTTTAGTGTTGCAGTGAAGTTCTTCTGCTAGAGGAGGGGAGAGATGCGCAGCCCGTAAAGTGCCTTGTTTACTTGCAGTATCGTGCCGGGCTTCTGATAGCCTCGTGGCATTCTCATGTAGACCTCTCTGTCCATTGTAGCATGAACAAACGCGTTGGTAACGTCGTATTGTTTGAGCTCTATGTTATAGTGAGCTGCCATAGCCATCATCGTTCGAAAGGATCGGCTGGCAAGCGTGGCTGCGTAGGTGTCTTGTGATGTAATATTGCGTTGTTAATCGCCTCTGACTACTAGTCGCGCCTTGCACTTCAGCAGTTAATGATGTCTATTAAGCTTATAGGTATATACCCACATGCAGTTAAGGATCTGTTGTCCTGTTAGTCTGATTTTCTGAAGTGGTACTTCTAACCATGATTTCATTTCTTGGTGGCTTGCGAGGTGCTCTTGCTCAGCTTCTTGAAAGAGTTTACCCATAGGGTGATCCTCAAGCTTGGTTTGGAACGTGGGCAGAGGTGGAAGTTAACTTTGATGGGGCTTCAAGCCTTTGGCGAGCATTCTTATCATCTTAGCCTTGTCTATGACTTCTCCTCTGTATGTTCTAACACGTCCAGCTTGGGTTCCCGCAAGGAATGATGCTGCCCACAGGACAGTAGTTGAGGACGCTTGTTGCGTCAGAGTTGTTTAATCACTGGCCATAATGCCTGCAAGTAGTGCTGCAGGTGGCGGTGTTGATAGAGGGGTAGGATAGCTATCCTGTATCTTCCGTCCGTGATAGTAGCCTGGCGGGTCTGCTTCGTCTTGTGGTGACGGCTCTGCTAGGGCTTCATCCTCATAAAAGGAATCTGTTTCTAGTTGCTAGGTAGGCGTTGGTAGCTTAATAGATTGCACATGTGTTGCTATTTCTTTAAGTGTGTTGTGCATAAGGTTCTCTATAAGGTCCTTAATTCTCCTGTTGAATACTGTGTCTTTGTTAAACACAACATCTTAAGTGCTTATCACCTTGCTAAGTGACAGTATCTAGATTTAATAGATGTTTGACAACTAGTAGCCCACTAGATAGCTAATCTAGGCCTTTAGGTCTAGTTGTTGAAGACGTGATTTGCCTCTGTGTGTGTTGTCTGTCATGGCAAACGCTTTGCACCTGTATGCTCTTAGGTGCGCGAGGTTAGGTTTTTGCAGTGATGTCACTATTCTGTTGCTAAAGGCAACTTGCGTAAAGAATATTTCGTATGGTGTTTTCCAATGGTTTGCGTAGTTCGGCGTTCGATTGTAGAGGTATACTGCTGCCCTCGTGATTTCTGGCCACAGTTCCCAGGAGAGGTTGGCATCAAGTCGCATTGCGCGAGCTTTCTCCTTGTTCACACCCCCTGAGCGTTCTGCGTTACCGTTCTGTGCTTGTGTGTCTGGCGCTAAAGGCTCCACAATAATTCCTTGTGTTGCCAGCCATTTCAATACGCCTAGTTTGACTGTGGCTATCTCGTTGTCTGCCTCAATAGTCTTGACTAAGATGTTGTAGTGATTTTTCAAGAACAGGATAAACGTTGACAGTGCCTTGATAATTAACTTCGCTGTGCGATAATCTGTGAAGTAGAGGTCCTACTGTAGGCCTGAGAACCTGTTAGTGATGAGCATCTAGCTCTTTTCTTTAGTGACTCCTTGTACTTCGTAGGAGTGGAAGTCAACGCTGAGTCTTTCTCCAGGTCCGTCATTGTTGATTCTTGGTGCGCGGCTGATTTGCCGTCGCGATTTGGCTATTCCACAAGCGTTGCATTTGACTGTAGTGATGCCTTGGATCCGCACCCCCTGAGTCTGCTGGACGATGTGTTCAATTGCAGCAGGACCAGGGTGACCAAGTCGCTTGTGCCACCATATTGCTGAGGCCTTCTGTGGTCCTCTCTTAGTGCGTGTGGTGATTTTGTGTGTGTAGTTGGCGGCTAGTGGGGACAGTTCGTACTCAAGCACCCACTGGCCAAGCATTTCTGATACTACTCTAATTACTTGGCCATTTGCTTGTCAGAGAGTTGTTGGGTCTGCTTGTGTGTCCTACCACATGCCTCTGTTTCGTAGTAGGCGGAAGGACACTAGGTTGCATAGCAGGTCTGGGCAAATTGCCACGTCCGTGAGGGTGACCTTGGTTGTCCTGGCTCCACTCCTCAGGAGTAGATCAATTGATCCATATCCTCTAACCAGCACCTTGGAATTCCCAGCCCATATGAAGTCTCCGGGCGATGGCTGTCAGAACCCGTAGACGCGGTTGGGGTCGTTGGTGATATAACAGGTAGAACCTGAGTCAAGTATGAACGACTTCCACAGTAGATAGTCAGCAGCGTCCTGTTGGTTCGCTGCGCTAAGCGCTGCTTTGACGTCAGCAATTTCTCGGCCTTCTAGTCAATTATCTAGGATTTCTAGGGTAGGGGTGTGCGAGTGCTTTACCACTAGTGTTCTTAATCAGCTCTTGCTTTGTGCGCGAAGTAGCCCTTAAAAGGTGACATCTTTCTCACACTTAAACTTAATAAGTTCAGAAATAATCTTATTTGGTTTCCACCACTCAGGAGCTCTGTCTTGATTAACATAGTAGCAATCCTGTATAGAGTGGCGTTGTCCACATGCAGGGCATTTTGCTCCCCCAGTGGAAGCAGGCTCTTGATCTGAAGGCCGCTTGAGCGTGGTGGTTTTCCTACCCGCTGTACGTTGATATCGAGGTCTGCCCCAGTTGGATGGCGCGCTTACAGCATGTTGGGCGTCCCCTTCATGGCTCTAGGAGGCTGCACCCCCTTCAGCAAGAAACACTGCATCGTCAGCCACAAAGGCCTTATGCCGCCCTAATCTAAGGGGATGATTTATCATCATGTGCTCTCAGTAGCGTTTTATTATCTCCTTCCAACTCATACTAGATTTAAAGCGTCTGCTATCTTAAAAGCTTGTAGCCCACATAGGCGCGACCCTATTCACAGCTGTCAGGAAGTCCTTTGTTATCACATTTAATTGTGATAATTCGGCGACTTTGTACGTCTCCGCTTCTGTAGCTGCCTGGTCATACTCGGCTAGCTAGGTATCCCATTGTGACGTGCTTCTCATTGGCTTGAGTGCTGAGAGGTATCTGTCTTGGGCTTGTTCTTGTTCAATTCGTTCGTCAACCCCAACAGTGAGTTGTAGGTCTGTGATCCACTGTCGCAGTGGTTTCTCAGGAAGACAGCATGTGCGCAGTAGATGTGGCGACACAGTTGACTGGATGAACACAATAATGTGCTGAAGGCTCGCTTCCTCCTTCTCATATTTGTGTTGATTGTTCTTGTATTGTTCAAGGAGTACTTTGTAATACTCAAGGTCTTCCTTAAATGCCTTCTGGCCTGTTGTTAATAGCTCAGTTGGCCTTGATAGTATGTTGGTGTTCGCGGCTGGCGCGTAGTTGGTAATGGTTGGAGCCCTCGGCGAGAGTGGCTTTGATAGTAGTGGTGTAGTTGTCTTTGGGTTGATCTTGTCCCAGATGTTGCGCGACAGGCATCTCGCCTGTAGCTGCGCGAGCCAGCCAGTCCAGTCGGCTTGGTCCCTAAGGACTGTCGTTGGGTCGCGGTACGCTGGTTGCGCCATTTTGATTGCGGCAGTTCAGTTGCGGCAGTGAGGTTGCAGCAGTTCAGTTGCGGCAGTGAGACTCTTAATTGTCAGATGCTCGTACTGTGAGCCAGAGTATGTGCTTAACGAGATCTTAGGTGGTATAATGATATATTGATGATCGTGGCCATGGTGTTTTTCTGCCGTGGCGTCGTGCTGGTTGCTACAGGATTGAAGTGGGGGGGAATTAGCGCTGTTCGCGGCCGCCGGTGTGCGGGCCAATCAGGAGTTGCCAGGTCTCGCTTAATCGACCTGGCAACTGCTGATTGGCTGCACGACAGGTCCCTGCTCGATTGCGCAGATCCGACCTCTCGCCGCTCGCTCTTATCTGACAGCTGTGTAGGTGGGCCTGTTCTTAGCTTTAACAGAGCTACTTCTTCTTCTGTGCTAGACTCTAAGTCTTCTCTTTATAACTGTAGGGTAGCTTTTAGAGTTTTAATACTAATATAAACAGGGTGGTCTTTAGGTACTTTCCTAGCTCTAAGGGCGTACTTTCTTAGAGCAGTATTTAGTCTTATAACATAAACCCCCAGCACCTAGACTAACCTAGCACCTAGGCCATTTCTTGCCAAGACTACAACTAATAATATTAACACGTAATGCCTTGCTAACAAGATACGCAATTATCTAAACAAGAGGGTAGAATTAATCTTGCCCTTCCTACTTTCTAATTAACGTGGTCCACCACCAAGCGAAGCACCCCACCAAGCGAATCACTCTGCCAAGACCACAACGCTTTCTACTATTAATTACAATAGCTTAACAACCTAATCTTGAATTACTTTCCTGTGCAGATAGAGTTATACTTGCTACCCAAGCAATAAAATCTAACGCGTCACTAAGCCAGCAACGCGCTGCTGCTATCTACAGGGTTCCTCAAAGTACACTTAGCCATCAAGGCGCTGGAAGAACCCCACAACGCGATACCCACCCTAACTCATCTAAGCTTCAGAAGCATGAAGAGGAGGCAGTTATACAATACATAAGGAAGCTTGACGCTAGAGGCTTTGCCCCTACGCTTAGCCACGTACGTGGAATGGCTGACCAGCTACTAGCTAAGCGTAGTAGTGGCCAGGTTAGGGAGAACTGGGCCTATAGGCTGATCCAACGCCGGCCTAAGGTCAAATCTCAGGTGACTCGACTCCGTGATCACCAGCGAGTCCTCTGCAGTAATCTAGCTATTATCAGCCCCTAGTTTAACCTTGTACGCAACGTTAAAGCCAAGTATAGTATCCTAGATTAAGACACGTACAACTTTAATAAGACTAGCTTCTAGATAGGCGTTGGGGGGTCTGTGAAGGTAGTCACAGCCTCTAAGAGGCGCCTTAAGCTACTTAGGGTTTAGCCTAGTAACAGGGAGTAGGTAATGTTGATTGCCGCCATTAACGCCACAGGGTGGGTTATCCCACCCTTCATCATCTTTAAAGCCAAGAACCACAACTAGGCCTAGTATCATAACCCTTAGGATTAGAGAATAGGGGTTAGCAATAATAGATAGACAATAAATAAGCTTAGGCTTGCCTGGCTACAGCACTTTATTAAGCACACAGAGGTTAAGAAAGTAGGTAGTTACAGACTACTAATTCTTGATAGCTACAAGAGCCACAAGTCACTCGCCTTCCAGGATCTTTGTAAGGAGAACAATATCATTACCCTCTATATACCCC